ACGGCTGCTCAGCCAAGCACGAGGCCAGGCCTGTCTGCTGAGCGTGGGAGATGCCAAAGCTGGGAGCAGCTTTCCTGGAAGCAGCAGTTACCGCACGGCTCCGGATTAGAGCTTTGGGAATCCTTCGGCTGAGCACAGCCTGTGCTAAGCCCGCGTGCCCAGTGCTCTGCGGAGGGCACAGGGTTTGGAGGGGGGCGTGGGACGCCCAGACCCACCCGCAGCCCTCACCTTACTGAACCTCTGCTCCAGCACTTCATGTTCCCACTGAAGATCCTTCAGTTCCTTCTGGGTGACTCTGAGACGGGCTTTTGTGTTCTGCGAGCGGGAAGGGACAGTTAAAGAGGGGGTCTCTCTGGGAGGTGCGGGGGGTGGCAGGGGAGGAGAGTGACCAGTGAAGAGATACGGGCAAGAAAAAAAAACCAGCACCCACGGCAACGCCCTCGCCCCTCTGCAACGAGGGCTGCTCTTGTTTCTCACTGCCAGATCCCTGGAAGTCCCACCGAGACCTGACAAACACCCGGCTGAGCTGAAAAGGACTCGAAGGACTCTGCTGGGCCATGGGGCCAAGGCGAGTGGTGACTCCCCCCAGGAAAGAGCCAGGATGACTCAGGAAAGGCCAGGGCTGGCCACTCACCGTCAGCGCCTCCTTGTCCTTGTCGTAGTGAGCCAACTTCTTCTGCAGCTCGGACACCTGCTCCTGGGCCTGCTGCAGGGGCTCCTGCAGCTGCTTGTTCTGGAGCAGCACATCTGCCTTCTCCTTTTCCAGGTGATTCTCTCTTTTCTTCATCTCCTCCACCTGCTCCTGTTCTCAGGAACACGAGTGCCGACTCCTGGGGCTGCCCAGCTTCCGGCACCATCCGGACACCCTCCCACGGTTGGCCCAGCAACACGCTTCTCTCTGTGCACGAGAGCTTCGCTCGTGTAACGGTGTGCAACCCCCAGGAGACCAGCAGCACCCACAAAACCACCTGGGAACCGGCCAGATCCGGGTGAAATCCTCACAGGACCGGACCCTGGGTGGAAGGGTGCCACTCCGCAGGCCAGGCGGGCTGTGGCAGAGCAGGCAGTACCTTCAGCAAGCTGATGAGCGCCAGGTTGTTGAGGGTGATGTCGTTGTAGTACTCCTTGATGTCACTGAAGGCCTTCTCGTGGTTCCTCATCAGCTCGCTGATCTGGTTGTTCTTCCTCTCCTCCACCTCGTGGACCTCCGTCTTCCTCCGCAAGTCGAGCTCGTCCCGCAGCACCTGCATCTTCCTGGTGTACTCGGCCTCGAGCTCTGGGGGAGCACAGAGGGGGCTGAGCGAGGAGCTCCTGGAGACCTCTGTAACGCGCCCCGGCTCCATCAGCCAGCGCCAGCCCGGCGCGTGCCACCGCGGCACTACTCGAGGACAAGATGCTCGTTAGCAGCGTCACCGCAGCTGCCACCAGCGTGCGGAGCAGTCACGCTGGGACCACGGAGAGCAGAGCCCAGAAATAACATCCTTGGAAAAGAGGGCATGGAAACTTTCCAAGTCAGCCTGTGAGAACCTGAAACGTCCCCTGAGGAGGAACAAGGACTCTGCAAGGGCTCCTCCAGCCACCCCACCCGCAGCCCGGAGAAGCGCGGCCCGGCAGCTGCGCTCGGCAGTACGGCGCAGCAGCAGCGATGGGCGCCCGGCCCATGCCCCTCCGTTGGCGCGATGCTGGGGGCCTGGCAGCCCCACAGCACGGGAGAGCAAGAAGTGGGGGAAAACCAGCCAGAACCGGGGTAGAAATGGCCCGTTTCTGCTCGAGACTCTGCCAGGGAGGCCGGCAGCGCAGCAGAGCTCGGAGGAACCTTCCCTGGCACGCGACGAGTGCATCCTGACCTTTCACTTGTCTCTCGAAGTCGTTGCGCAGCCGGGTGGTCTCCTCCTCTTGCTTCTGTTAGGGAGAAGTTACGTGTTAGAAGTAGAGAAGCAAATCCTGAGGCAGCTGCATCCCAATGGAGTCCCTCCTGCTCCCTGGGAAAGGCTCCCACCGCGGCACCGGGCCCACGTTATCCGTGCAAGCAGCAGCTCGTAGGTTCTCCAGCTGCTCTCGCAGCTCAGCCTGCGGCCCCACCACCTCCCTCTGCAGCAGAAGCACCTCGCACGCGGCTCCGGCCCGGCCAGGGACGTACCAGGCTCATGCTTTTCACCATCCCATTGTCGGCCAGCTCCTTCTCCTTCAGCTCCACTTTCAAGGAGCGTGTGTTTTTCCACAGCGTCATCTCCTGGGTCCAGTGATCCTTCTGGGCCCGCTTCATGGAGAGGATGCCCTCCACCTTCGCCTCGGTGAGGTTTTCCTGGTGTTCGTACAACAAGTGCTTCACCTT